TGCTGTCATATAACATTTAGGCACATGGACTCTCACCGTTGGCTTCAGGGGCCGCAATGACCCAGAGAGCCCAGTACCTCTTGATCCAAGAACATCGCTTAAGTCCGATTTATGAAGCCCCTTATAGTAGCTGAAGGTATGTTCCTTAATTGAGGGGTAAGAACATCGCTTACGTCCGATTTATGGAGCCCCTTATAGTTGAAGGTATGTTCCTTAATTGAGGGGTAGATTGCCGTGAATCAAAGATCATCGCTTAAGTCCGATTTACGAAGCCCCTTATAGCTGAAGGTATGTTTTGAAGCCCGTTGTAGTTGAAGGTATGTTTCTTAATTGAGGTGTAGATTGCGCTTCGTGGGGACTGGCAATGTTGGGTTTACAGCTTGGTGAGTGGAGCTTCACGGTTCTGGCTTGAGGCTTCAGAGTTCAGGGACTCTGGTACGTAGTAGTAGTAGTAGTAGTAGTAGCAGTAGTAGTAGTAGTAGTAGTGGTAGTAGTAGTAGTAGTAGTAGTAGTAGTAGTAGTAGTAGCAGTAGCAGTAGCAGTAGCAGTAGCAGTAGCAGTAGCAGTGGTAGCAGTAGTTGTTGTTGTGGTCGTCGTAGTAGTCGTAGGAGGAGTTGTAGTACTGTAGTAATAGTAGTTGCAGGCCATGGTCTGGTGTAGGGTTTAAGATGCAGCGGAGCATAATTAAAGCCTACGACCCCCTCAACCCCTAACTCCCTAGCTCCCTACTAACCCCTCATTGCTCACATAATAATGTATAAATCTTCAAGCCTCAAGCAGAGATCCCTCGCAAAAAATGGCTCCCTAACTTGAGGGTCGTGCGAACCTTTCTGAGCTGAAGCTTTCGGATTTCAGATATGGAGATCGGACGAGTTACTAAGCAAGATTTTTTTCTCAGGGCCCTTATCAGTATGGACTATACCTTGGCTTTTTCTGCTTGGCTCTTAGGACTTGAATTTAACGTTTTTGCATTCCTGTATGAACTATAATAAGGAAGCTAAAGTTTCAACTTTCAGGACGGGGTCTGAAGTCAGCCAAGATACCCCAACACCCAATTCGAGCCGCAAGAGGCGAAGCCAGGGTTTAGGGTTTGGGGTTTAGGGTTCTAAACCCCACTTGGAGGGTCGGGGGACTTAGTAAGTCGGTAAGAAGTAGACTTATAAGTACCTTAAAAACGGATCCTCATGTGGGGGTTATGGTACTTATAGGTCTCTAGAATAACTGGTTACTACGGTTGATGATATAAATCCTGCATGACCCATCATAAGGAATCTACCATAATTCCCATAGTCTAGGGTCCTTAAGGTAATGCAGGATTTTTATCATCAGCCGTAAGTCCCCCGACCCTCCAAGCGAACCCTAAGTCCGGCAAGTGGACCCTGGGGCTTGGCCCAGGACGTCGCGCGACAAAGCGACTACGTCGAGATCGACAAGGTTGCCCCGTTTAGGGGCCCCCGAGATGCAGCTAGGATGCCCAGTAGTACCCTTATTCCCTTTTTGTAGTCCTAGGTTCCTTATAAAGTTACCCAAGACCAAAAAGAGAGGCCTTTTTATTCTTAGGTTGCTGGGTATCCTAGGCAGAAATCGGAGGTCAGTTTAGGGTTTAGGGTTGGTGGCCAGGGGACTTAGTAAGTAGGTAATGAGTAGATAGACTTATGAGCACCCTAAAAGGGATCCTCATTGGGGTTCTGATGCCTATTTTTACGTCTAGAAAGATGGTTACTACGTCCCCGGATCCGAAGCAGATACTCAGTGCTCATTTGTACTGTTGCGGTTGTTTTGAGTACCTCAGACGTCGAAGTAGCTACTATGTGGATACATCCAAGGTTCAATGGAGCCCTTATGGTTTTTAATTGTGGGTATTCATGGTATATTAGAGGGTAGTTGGGGGGTCTAAGATGAACCCTTAGGTTGAGGTCTATGAGCTCAGGCTGCTGGCAGGCTCAGATTCACGGTAGTCGTCACTGTCGTCTCCTTCCCGCAGTGGCCAGTATAACAACTATATCGCCTACGTATCCATGCACATAAGCTGGGATAATAACCCGCAACCCCTAAACCCCTAAACCCTAAACCCTAGACTTAACCCTAAGCCGGTAGCCCTTGACTGGGCTCCCTAAACCCTATAAACCCTAACAGGTCTTATGAGGTTGATGCAGGGTTCGAACTTTCACGTTCCCACGGTAAGCCTGGCTTTCGGCAAAATCGTGCTTTGGAAACTCATGCTCCAAGGCACTGTTGAGCAGTGCCAATCTAGGTTTAACTCCTAAACACTCTGAACTTGTAGATCTCAAGACCCCCGCCCCCATTTCCTGAAACTGATCAGGTTCACGCCATCGGTCCGGTCGGAAGATGGAATGCGCAGACGCCCCGTAAGGCTGCTGTAGGGTTTAGGGTTTACGGATTCAACACCCCAACAGGCTTTGAGGTTCATCATTGAGGGTTTTCACCGTTTCTATCGTCTCCTTAGGAACTATTTTCCATTTTCGTTCACAGAAAACCCAAGAGAATATCAACAAGAGTATTTTCATAATGGTTCTAAGGGGGTATAGGTTTTAGGGTTTAGGGTCGTGTTCAGGGTTTAGGGTTTAGGGGTTTGGGATTGGGGACTGCACGGGACCTCCTTCGATGTCACCATGTGCGAACAAACGAAGCCAACTGCGCTGGTGCACAAGGGACTTTATAACACGAAAGACAAAATATATTACCAGGCTGCTGTACAAAGCGTGTGGAATGCCCCTCTCTCATAACGCAAGCAAGAAGTACTTATTACGTGCTGAGCATAAAGGCTTTATTCTTGCAACTCGGTTTGCGGCTGCTGGTACAGTACGGCGACGATGACGACGACGGGAACGCCGATGACGACTACTACTGCTATTCGTACCAGGACCAGGACGTGCACCATTGCTCGCACTAGCAGTATCATTAGTCCTCATACTATATAGTACTGGCACCAGTACGGTGTGCACTATTACTGACACCAGCGTCACTGCTGCTGCTACTGGCGCTGCTGCGCCTGCTGCTCCGGCTACTGCTACTGCTACTGCCACTACTACTGCTAGTACTACTACGACGACGACTACTGTCTTTGTTTGCTCTAGCTACGACGACCATGATTACCACTATGAACCCACGACGACCACGAATGCCACTATGAACTCTGCAAGACGCACCCGAAGACAGTACTATCATTCCGAGGGCCAAGATTTACGACTTTCCTCGTTCTCGACAGACAATTCGTGCAAAGGCGCTCCACCGGGGAGACAGGGTGATTTCAGCTACAGCCTCAGATTGCACGATCATGGGTAGCTAGGAGCCGGGTTCCTTCTTGGTTTTTTATCATCATTTGGACAAGGGTGCTGTCGTAATATCTGCTTCGTGCCCGCCGGTGTTGTAACGGACCACTCATCTAAGCAGGCAGCGTGCTGGTTGCGAGGGATCAGTGTTTGCGACACTCTGCAGTCCTTGCACTGTCTTGTGGCAGCAATACTTGGAGGCTCGGGGGACTTAGCAATTACATATTTTTGACTTACAAGTATCATAGCCCCAACTCGGGGTGCCTTTTAGGGTGCTTAGAAGTCTACTTAAATTACCTACTTACTAGGTCCCCCGACCCGCCAAGTAACCGGGCACGGCAGAGAACGGATTTACTTAGAGAGCTGACTCAAGTTTAAAGCCAGGCCGTTGAACCGCATGCTTAAAGCCCAAGCCGTACTTGCTAGACTCTTTGAGCCGAGGGCAAAGGTGCTTAACAGAAAAAGAGGCATTTTAACGCAGCCTACTTACCCCAAGGGTCCAAGTACCCAATAACCATATACTCTCCGAAACCCTAACCTACATAACTACTATCCTAAAGCCGAGTACCACCTACAGCCTCCCTGACCAACTTTCTTGCATATGGGCTCCTCTTGAACCTGGTCACGGGCGGCCTCTTTGCATAAACCTAACATGTGCCAAAGGGGGACCCTTAATGGGGACCCTTACCCTGTAATGGGCTATATCATGGGTATATAATGGCTATATCAAGGGTATATACCTATGGGTCCTTATCAAGGGTCCCTCCTTTTACCCTTGGAGCAGTCTACATTCTAAGCGTCGAACCTGACACTCCTTACGGGCACTGTGCTTGGGCCTCTAAGGACCTGCAGAATAGTAATTCCGGGGGGAATGTGTGCAGTATTATATATATATAACACCTCTACGGCCAATGTTTAATTAAACTGCGCAAGTACATGGGTTTTTAGGTTTTGTTGCAACCCCAGGTCAACCGCATCGCGGGAAATGCGACTAAGATGGTCAACGAGATGCGGAAGTCTGTGCGGGGGCTTGGTTCTGGGGTTTAGGGCGTTAGGGTTTAGAGTTTAGGACTTTGGGCCTTGGGTCTTTAGGACTTAGATGTTCATAGTGCGCGAGATTTTGCATCGGAGACTCAACAGAGCTGTACCGTTACCTAAATCACCAAAGGTGGGTAAGCGAATGGCCCGGCCATTATTCTACATACTTGTGGGGCCAAGTACTGCCACCACCCCGGATTTAGGCTTTATTTATAAAGGTATCCAGTATTGTCATGGATTGCCACCCCGAAACCATCTATCGCAACAGACGAAATGTCAGCTGTCAAGCATGCCTGTCTTGCATCAGAAAGTTGCCCTGTCGATCTACAGCGCTCAGTTGGTGGTGGCACGTGGCTGTCGCACCTATAATAAGACCGAGAACGGTTTGGGGGGTCGCATATTGCCATTATGCATTCTGGGCAACCTGAAAAACTAAGTACAGCTTGCTTTGGGCTTTACCCATTTTGAACCTAGAGGCTGTTTGAACAGGTCTCTGACGTGTTGTCGGTGGAGTGAGCAGTGAACACCTCGCAGTGAGACGGACCACTGGTAAAACCGGCCCTGAACCCTCGTCTCATATTCGAGCCCTAACCTTAACCCCTAAACCCTTTGAACGCTTTGAATGGCGAAGTCTGCCTCTGCGAACGGAAGCAGACTCAGAACCAAGCCTCATGGAAGGGGTAACGTAGTCCAGGATCTTGAAACGCCTGTAGCTGTCCCGTTTGGGAGAACCCTGGACAAACATGCCTCGATTCGCTCATGGCGATCAGCTGGCATAGCAACTCCTATACACAACAAACGAATTTGGAGCGCTGTTGACTCCGGCCGACACTCTCTCGTAACCCATCGGCCCCCAGATTCCCGGAGTAATCCTCTCAAGAATTGACCAAACCAACGGGTTCGTGCGGTCAATTCAGCTCTCACCAGTCTGCCGTGACTAACAGTAGCCGGATCGATCCACGTGCGTGTGCTAGCATGGTACACCGGAGGTGGACTTCCTGTGTGAAAGCAATAATCCAGCAACAACTGCAGCACTGATATCCACTGTAGTGACCCTCCACCATCACGGGACTGCAGGCCCCGAAACCATTCGGCTGCAGTTCGGACCGCAGTATCTCCAAACCGATGTGTAATACGGCCTCGCGGGTCCACATCACACGCTGGAATGAAGGAAGCCTCACCCTCACCTACCGCAGCCACCACCAATATTGGACGGACACCGGGCCGGCCCTCGGACCGCGTAGCGACCATGCCAATCCTGGCATGAAGCAGCAGAATCCCTTCAGTAATGCGTGATGCCTCAGCATACCCATCCGCACACCGATTCCAGAGGTTCCAAAACTCTTCACCGCGCTCCTGATTAGCGCAACCAGCCAGGTAATCAGCCTCATTGTTATGGACGACGGCCCACTCATCTACAAAAGTACCCTGCAAGTCCGAATCCAAATGTGCAGAGACCTTCAACACGGAAATCCGATCACCCAGCAACGGCAAGAGTTGCGACATCCGTCTCCAGAGGTCAGCATGCTTTCCCGTGGACGCGGGAACCCACTCGCCAGCGAGCAAGCTTCGCGCCCTTCGCACCACACTCGAGCAGTCAGACCAGACACGAACAGGCACTCCAACCGTGGAAGCGAAAGTGAAGGCAGCTAACATGGCAGTCAACTCCGCCCGAAAAGCGGTTTGGAGCAAGCCCGGTACAAGCCCGGAACACAAGGGCAAGCCCGGCGAGTCGAGGGAACCCATAGCAACCACAACACCCCAAGAGGCCAAGCGAAGGGAGGGAAGGCACGAGCAAAGGCAGGAACCATCTGTGAACAGATCGTAGATGGGCATAGAAGGCAGAGGCTCAAAGTGCGACGTAGTGTCAGGGAGCTGGCAAAGTGCGTGCCTGAGCAAGCTAACATCCTTTACGCAAGGTGCCCAACAATGCAAACGGGTGGCATCACACTGCGCTTCAAGCACCGAGAGCGGGCAAGGCAAAGGAAGAGCACGAGCGTCTTGGAAATGTGGGCATTCGAAAACTCTGTGGAGCACACTGTCAGGATGGCCGCAAAATGCACAAGCGTCCGACTCCCCCTCGGAGAAGTGGCACAAAGCGTCTTGCGTAAAGAAAGATCCATTCAGGGACTTTCGTGCCAGTGCCTGGTGTTCAGAGTCCAACCGACCGAAAATCAAACGCGTCAGGTGAGCATCGCAACCTGCGAGGCCCGCAAAGCCTTTTCGATGCGACACACTCTGCTGAACGGCAGCTTGCCACTGAAGGACCAAACGTGCTTCAACTTCTTGACAACAAAGCTTCCACGGATCAAGATTGCCAAGAGAGTCTTGGAAACAGCGCAACTCAGGAGACCACGCCATGCCAATAGCATTGGCCCGTGACAACAAAACTCCCGCCGGCCCTGGCTGACGCACCGAGTTTGTAGAGGCCAAATCCAACAAAGGTGCAAGATCTTCAAAAGAGCCGTGAGCAATTGCGTCCCGAAACGAGCTCCGCAACGCATAATACTCGGGATCAGCCAGCGGAAACTCAACCAAGCTCAAGTGAAGACGAGAACTTGCACCCGGAGCCTTGGCTCCCAAACCAATCATGGCACCATTCCGCAAGGAACGAAAGGAAGCAGCTGACAAAGTAACGATGCTGACAGCGTGCAGAGCCATAGGCCACGCAGCAACCTGAAGAGCCCGAACTTTCTGGACATACGGCGCAAGCGAGCATTTCAAGCGAAGCCACTTCGGAACAAGGTCCTTGCAACGCGCGGTCTGTGTGTAGTTGGTATGGCGTCTTGATACCTGCAAATGGCCACCAAGATCGCGGAAATCCAAAGCGACACTACACCGATTCGAACGCAACACTTTCCGATCAGCGGCCTCAGTGGACCAGAAAACCGTTTTGCCCGAGTCCACCTCAAGGTCCCATGCACGGGCGAAATCCTCTTGAGCCGCGGCAGCTCGCAGAATACTCATGGGACACGAAGAGGTAGTTTCCCAATTGTCAACGAACGTCAAAGCGACACAATCCGGAACGGATGCAGCCATATGCTCATGATAAGCAAAATTGACCAGGGTCATAGCCACGCAGCTTAACGCGTCTCCTTCCGGGAAACCGGTCGAGCTCATAACCCCTGGCCCAATAGACCCTCGAATCCTGAAGCGGCGCTGAAGGCCAACCAATGCAGCGGACCAAGCACGAACCAAACCACGTGGGATGCCACACAGCATGGCGAATGCAAACGTAGGCGCCCGAGGCAGCAAGTTGAATGCCTTGACGAGGTCCGCGCTGAATCCTGAAAGGGGGAGGCCTTCACGAAAGGACCGCTCAACCGCAAGCTGGATGGAATACCACGCGTTTGAAGCCGAACGTCCCGGGACATTCCCGAGAAGGCCCGGCGGGACAAACTGGGACAGGTGTCGCAAACACTGACGGGCTCGGATACTCCCCCAAACACGGTACACCATGGATAAGACGGAAATGGGTCTGAATTGCGTGACCAATGAAGCCGACGGAACCTTTTCCAGAGCAGTGACAACCCCCTGGAGCATTTGGCGAGGCCAAACCCCATGTTGTTCCGCATGTTCGCACAACCGAATAAGCTCAATAGTAAGTTCAGGCGGCATCAACAAGAGATCTTGCCTGGAGACTCCATCAAGGCCAGTCGTGCTGCGCGTGCTTTTAGCCCTGACGGCGGCTTGCCACACAGACAAGGTGATGGGCTCAAGAGCCATGGAAGGAAAATCACCGCGCTCCCGAAAGGAAGAGATGAGTTCACGCCACCTTTCAGGAGAAACATTGTCGTGTCGCTGCCACCGTCGAGCCCACTCCTTGCCAAACTTGGCAAACAGATCGGGCAGCGTTCCAACCAACACAGATTGAACAACCTTATCACCAATGGCACACGGCGGGGACTCATGACACCAGATCTTGTCAGGTTCAACATGGACAGGATCAATGCACACACCGTTCACACAGATTGGAAAGTCAGGGCTCCAAGGAACCTCCTTGTCAAGCACAACCGCATTGTCACCGGCATCAACCTCTTCAACATTCGCCTCAAGCGGCTCAATCAAAGACTCAACCGGCTTGGCAGGGGCGGCTCGAAGATCACGGAAGATGAGGCTAGGGTCGGAAGCACGACGGGCCGCAGCCTCGCCGCGGCGTGCAGAAAGCAATTGCCTCTCCCATGCACGAACATTCGCCTCGAAAGAAGCGAAGACTTGAGTCACAACATCCAGTGAGGGAATACACGGCGGGATATCGACCGGGTCGGTGGGAAGCTGGATTCCACGAGTAGGCCACCAAATCACGAAAGGAACTCCGAAACCAGGAGCACGAAGGATGGAATCCCACAGACCTGCACGATACTCCAACGCAGAAGGCGACGAGCTGGCCGAATGGAGGGCCTGGCGAAGAGCCTGAAGGCGACGAAGCTGCCGAAACCACTGCGCATAACGAAGGTTTGGCCCGAAAAACTCAGGGGACACTTCAGAAACGCGGGAGCTAGGAACCGGTGCAATCTTCAACTTGCTGCACTTTACTTCGAAAGTGCGGGCACGCCCTTTTTCACGAGAACACAGAGGTGGCAAGCTGCGGTCAGCAAGGGCACGCGAGAGCCCATCTTCAAATCGCTCGCAAACCGCAGCATAACGCTCAGATGCAGGGCTATCCGAGCCAGCAGGGCCACCCACAGCGCACACATGCAAGGGCTGGAGATGAAGAGACTGACGATGAACAGGCATGCGCCATTGAAAGCGCGGGACAAAGGAGACCGATGTGCGGAATTTCGCCGAAAGCACAGCATGATCAGCGAAAAACGTCTCATCAACCATGGTCTGGACAAACATGGCGGCCAACTCAGCCGAAACAAAAAGGAAGTCCTTGCGGGTTTTGCCCTTACATGTAGGGCGAGGTTGGCAACCGGTTGCCCAGCTCATGAGGTCTTGCACTTCGCAAAAACCACGCTCACGCCAGATATCAACGAAATCGATTCTGTCCAGCTCCAAATTGAAATCACCGGCCACGAACCGAGGCCCGGAAGCACCCAAAACCACCCTCTCAGTGAGGGCCTGAAGCAGACATGACGTACGAGAGGAGTCGGTGGCATACCCATAGACCACCCCGCCCAACAGCCACATGGACCCCACGAAGAAGTTGGCAACCTGAATGCGAGAGGTCTCGTACAGCAAAGCAGGCCACGAGTGTGGAGCCAAACGAGCCGGAAACGACGTGACAAAGCCCACGCCCTCGTAGACACCAGACACCAGGCTGCGCGGCCGAGGGGCCACAGGACAACCATGAACAAACGAAAAGGGACCGGCCAGGCGCAAGCCCATCCTGAATGAATCCAACCCTGGCTTGGTCAAATGCGTTTCACTGACAGCGTAGATTGCGGGCGAATCAAGCTGAGAAACGACCCCATGTTTGCCATTAAGCCCGGTGGGGTTAATGGCACCCAACGTGAAGAAAGACTCGTCCATCACCCCTGGACCAGGATGCGCAGCTTCCCCAACTCGCACCGAAAGAAACGCAATCAAAACGGACCAGTGGCGAACGCCCCTGCATACAGCACGTACCAACAAGCCCAAAACAAGGGCAACTGAAGCGAGGCACCCAAAGACCCCAAGTTCTAGTCACTCATGCCTAGAACGCTTGGGCGCAGCTAACAACTCTTCAATGCGGGACATCTGCTCCTGAAACATGCTGCGAAGCACCGACTCCTGGCCATCGACTTTGTCTGAAAGGGCTGTGACCTGAGTTTCAACTCCAGAAAGCCGACCCTCAACCACAGCGCGATGTTCCGTCAAACGAGCCTCAACCTTGGAAAGGACACTCTGTTCAAGCTCCTCACGCAGCTGCTCAGAAGGAGCCGGTACAGACGACAAGGAACGATCCTGCTGAATTTTGGCCAATACTTTAGCTTCAACTTGTGCAGACACAGCTTGAACAGAAGCGGGTTGTGAAGGCGTTTGCTTCTGAAGCGCTGCAGCCCAAGGATCATGCACCTGCAAGGGGTCAACCGAAGGGGGCGTAGGCGGACAGAGATCACGCAAAGCACTGCGAGCAGCAAGCACTGCATGCTTCACCGCCGGGACGGCTGCTCGCCCAGGTTCTTCACTGATAAGCACTTCACCAAATTGCGTGTGCAAGACAAGCTCAGGAGGGCGCGAACCGGCCTGAACGCGCCACCAAAGACCACCAGGCTGGCCGGCAAGGGGCTGGGTAACGCGAGCAACCCATCCGAAGGAGGACAATGCTTTTTCAACGGCTTGGCGCTGTGTCCCGAAAGGCCAAGGACCGACAACGAACTCACACAATGAGCTACGATCGACAAAAGGGGTGCCTTTGAGGACTTTGTGTAAGGCCTCTTCATCAGCTTTATTGCATCGCACTCCCAGTCGCGATCCAACACGAGCAAGTCCAATGATTTCGCCATGGCTTTGTTTTAGGAGCAAAGCCTCACTGTAGGAAGCTTTCGGAAGCCAGATAACACGAAACTCAGCAGAAGCCCCCTTGGAATCTGCAGCGCGCGGCTCAATGAAAACCCCATGCAACCCGGAGCATGCAAGCAGAGGCTTGAGAAGCCCAGCCGGTATCCTCACAAAGATGTTGAAGATTACTGCTGACTTCGCCGGCGCTTGCTTGTACGCAACGGAATGCCAAGACCTGGCCCAGCACTCAAGAATAGCTTCCGGCTCACCCGGCGCGGAGGCACCATGCCAAGCAGCACAAGTACAACCTGCAACAGAGCAAGTGCGAAGGCAGGGAACCACCTGTATGATCTCCCGAAGTGGGCGAATTGTGAATGTGTCCCAATCACCCTCAAACTGGTCACGAAACACAGGGATACGAAGGACTTCCGATGGAACAACCTCGACGTTTGTGACCTTAGGGGCATGCTTGGAAACCCAACGATCGCCAATCTGGAGCAAAGTCCCGGAAAGAAGCAATGGAAGTGCTCGTTTCGTTGACGTGGCTCGGAAACGCAACACTTCAGACTTTACAGTCACTTCGCCAAGGTCAAGTTCACCGACAACCACAAGGGCCAATGCCGCACGACTGACAGGCCTTGAAAGCTTGAAGTACGGTGCAGCTTGTTCCGGCCGGACCAATACTACTCCAGCTGAAGTAGGGCCAACGTCACCAATGGGGATCTGCGTAAGAGGCGTGTCACCATCAACGAAAACTCCTGAAGGAATGGTAACCTGGTCAAGGTCAAGCATCACCGGAGACGCACGAGCCGGAACTGAAGGAACTTTGGACTTAGTCATCTGGCGGTTACCCGAAGCATGTCCACCGGCCAGAGCCTTTGCCGCAACTACGGCCTGAAGCTCACTAGGGAGAAGGAAGTGGAAAGGAGGAGAATGCAGGTTTCCCAAAGCTTTGAGCTCCTTCCAAGGGTTAGCACCTAGCATGGCCTTCTGAACCTGTCCCGAGCCAAGTGTGGCAATTGCCTGAGCCGCACGTTGATTCGCGCCTTCATGTGGAACACCTCGCTCTTTAAGCAAAGAGGCCAAACTGCCTACAAGAAAGGAGTCTAAAGCACTGTGGCGCGATGCATCCGGCAAGGACTTACCTCCGTCAGTGACGACCATGGCAAAAAAGCAGAACCCTCACCCAAGCGTCAGCTAGCACCGCTTTGCCACTGGTAGGCCCTTGGGCCGAAAGCTAACCCCTAAACCCCAACCCCTTGAACCTGACCACCGTCGTACCTAACTCCACGAGCCCAGTGCCTACACAGTGGGTTGCTGTTGTCCCTCCAACCCGGATATAAACTAGCGCCCTATGGTGCTCATCACCCAGAAGCCCAATTTATGTCGGCTTCTGGATCAAAGCAGTTCCTACCTGGATCCAGCAGGCACCAACGCTTTTGCGGCTCCTCTCTATGATGGCGAAGATTTGCGGGCCTCTAGAGCCAACCATCAACTTAGCCCCAACATTAAATCCGAAACCTGAACCCCAAACCCTGAACTCTGAACCCCAAGCCCTGAACCCTGAACTCCAAGCCCTGAACCCTAAACTCCAAACCCTGAACCCCAAACCCTAAGCCCGAAACCCTAAACCCCGAACCCTGGACCCCGAAGCAAGAACAAAAACTCAAACCCACGCCGCCGACTTCCAGGTGCGGATTCACCTGAAAGTGCTCAGAGTCAGCCAGGAGGCTGGAATTCTTCTGGGTTCTTCTTGTTGGCATCTAGAGTAAGCTACCATACCAGGGATTTATAGTAAATAATATGGTTCCTTATGTTTGGAGTACCTTAAATTAACCCCCTTAACAAGAACCCAGTCTCAGGGCTCTGGGACCTCTGTGCGTTAGAGATAATGCGAAGCGTTTTCGTTACTTTTGACCGTCACGCCTTGGATTTGTTCATTGCAACAGAGGAGCGTGCAGTATGACATGAGTTGTAGGAGTTTTGTTATGGATACCCCGACCCTTCTGAATTCCCGCTTTTTCGTATTGCTCACGTAGGCTCGAGGCTTGAGTGGTGTGGGAGATAACCTGTGGCAGCGGGTTGAACTCTAAACCATGAACCACATCGTAGGTCTTGGGCATAGAGGTTTCTGCCTACACCCTCCACCAGAATTCGCACTTTGGTTCCTTTGCTTTTCAAGCGACAGTCAGGACAGCCGGGCAATCGCCAAGCGCCGCGCAGCGAAAGAGCTGCGCAAGGCATGCGTGCTTTCAGACACACGCGGTATCATTTGCCTGTAGTCACTGTAGTGTGTTCGTGCGCATGTATGCATGGGTAGATGTAGTCCAGCACGTACATGTTTCTGTACGTCTGCATGTATATGCGCAACATTGTCTGCATGACTCCATGTGACTCTGTTGAGTTTTAAGTAGTTATAAGCATGCAGCATAGCATACGTGTAGAGCCCTTCCAGCTGACTGGACGCACTAGCCAGAACGAAGACTACAACCACATGTTATGTGGAACACTATCGCTGGCACTTGAAGACACAGTGCAACTACACTTCACTTGAACTGATGTTTCCGGGAAAGAAGAACAGATCAGTAGTTTAGATATGCTCGACAAGGGAAGTGGAAGCTGGATAGGTTGTATTAACTGTAGATATCTAACAACAAGTTTGCCACAGACACCCACGATTCAAGCACAACGTTGGGTAGCATACATACATACATACATACACACATGCGTGATCATACGCAGATCTGTAAATGCATATATACACATGTATACAGAGAGAGAGAGAGAGGGACATACTGCCTGTATTCAAGTATGTATACATGCATGTAGGTGAAAATGTGTGTGTGTGTGTAATTGCATGCATTCCTGGATGGATAGATGGATCGGTATGTATGTATGTATGTAAGTATGTATGTATGTAACTTGAGGATGAACATAAAAATGCATACGAATATGTCTGTGCGCCTGTATATGCATGTGTGCATGTCTGTCTGCATGTATGTATGTATGTATGTACGCGTGTGCATACATTTTTGTTTGTAAGTGTTCATGCATGCATGCATGCATGCCTGTGTATGTGTATATGTATATGTATGTGTATATTCATTTACACGGATACTTAGGTCTGAGCATATGTTTATATGTATGTTTATATGCTTAAAAATAAATGAAATCACATAGACATATCATCTATTTACAAGATCGAACCTCCAGATTCACGGACAAGGAAGTTCGCATTTATTGGGCTTTCGGCTTCCATCCGTAAAAACACAGGAACAAGCATGCGCTTTGTCATGGCCGAGGTTGGTGGTGGGTACTTACATACATACATACATACATACATACATGCTTGTGTACATACATACGTGCCTACATATGTGCGTGTGTGTGTGTGTGTGTGTGTGTGTGTATTTATATATGCATCACGAACTTCTGAACCAAAAAGAAAGCGCAGGTCTTGGCAATACCGCCGCCCTCGCAGCAGTCACTGGGTCTCCCCGAACCAGCTGGGTCCAAAGCCCATGGCTCAGGGGTTAATGCTTCCATTGTTTAAAGCTATATATATAGATATATATATATATGTGTGTATATATATATATAGATATTCGTCTTTAGAGGTCTGAATTCTTAGTTAGGGTAGAGGTCTGAATTCTAATTTAGGGTAGAGGTTTGAATTCTTAGTTAGGATATCCCATTGTAAGCTACAGCTATGTGCATAATCATTCCACAACATGCTCTGTAATTCTACTCCTGTTTGTCAGAGCTGAATGGTGTCAAGATGCAGGGTCGAATGACTTGGGGCTCCACGGTTTTAGGATTTAGGGTTTAGGGTTCAAGGCTTGGGTTCCAGGTTACAGTAAGCGTTTTTAGGCTTCATCTTTTTGAAGGCGATGACTTAGGGGGTGTCGTAATCTTTGTTGACGGGGATTATGACTTTACGTTTTCCTTAGGGCTCCTTCCGCATAAGTATACCATAATATACCCCACTCTTTCTCTCTCAATCAGGTGTTCCAGCTTTGCAGACTTCACTGATCACATCAAAAGAGTGTCAGCCAGCATCTGATCGAGATGCCGTTGTTGAGGCGCATCGACAACATTTGAAGGTTGCTCGCAAATGCCGGGCCGCTCAATCGAGATACAATCACCTCAGCGAAGCAGCGAACAGAGCTGTGGCTGTCTTCGCTCGTCTTCTTGTCCCAAAGGCTCCATATAGCCATATAGTCATATAGTAGGTACTTAGGCCTTGAAGTACTCATATAGGGACCCCTTAAAGGCCTACGTGCCTACTATATGGGCACTTGGAGTCTAAGGGTGTCTAGATGGACCCACTCCATCTTGAAGGTAGATGTGGAATATTGTGGTCAGGCGTAACTTAGAGTGCCTCGAAATCTGGCCTTGACCAAGTCGACCGAGAATTTATCGAGGCCACAAGTTTCCAATCACGAGCCAATTTATGGGTGGTTGTCGAAACCAGGGTCCCTTTTGGATTCTCAAATTATAGGGTGGCCTAATAACAGCAGAATTTGAGTTCCCCAAAGGGACCATGAATTACCGCTAAATTCAAAGCCCTAAACTAAACCGCGGTCGTGCAGACAGCTCCGTAGTGCGGTCGCCGGTCCCGAGGTTTGTGGCTTTGGGATGTTGGATTTACCAGCACCCGCAAGTGCCCCTTAATAGAGCACGCCATATAGTGGGTATTTGGGGTAGTAATAGGAGGCGATTGGGGCGTCCTGTTAGGGAGTTCTTGTGACTGATTCAGTTCTGTGACATCGACGAGATACTTTGTCGTAGGAATGTTAAACTTGTCACAACCTTGGCCGCGCAGAACCCAGAGACTCCAAAACCCCTTAATTAAGGAATATACCTTAAATTATAGTAGGGATCCTAATATGATTTCAGGTATATTCCTTTGGAGTCTCTGGGAATGGCTCTTACTTTTACACAGAGAAGCCCTGAACCCTGGACTGCCTAAGCTTGATAACGAAGAAGCTGTAAGCCCTAGGCACTCCTGATTACATGGAGGGTCGGGGGACTTAGTGAGTAGGTAATAAGTAAACTTATAAGTACCCTAAAAGGGACCCTAATTGGGTTTATGGTACTTATAAGTCTCTAAAATAACCAGTTACTAAGTCCCCCTAAGCCCCTAAACCCTAAACCCTATGCCTATACCCTTATAGAATCCCAAAAGAACCCTTTAAAGGAACCCTTTAAAGGGTCCCCGATCCTCCAAGTAGTTTGTAGCTCGAAGCGAGGTGAAACGGAACTGAAAGCTGCTCTAACTTCCAGCAGAGTGTAGTAATCCCCGTTGGTGGCTTTCGTTGGGTTTAGGGTTTAGGGTTTAGGGTGGTGTAGGTTTAGGGCTAACATATGAGACTTTGGCAACATGGAGCTCCCACTAAAACCCCCCATGGTGGAGGGTATTCTTTTCGAGCGGGGCTGTTCAAGGTTCCATAAACTGTCAACCCTAAAGCCCCAACTCTCAAACTCTGCATCTAAACGCCGCTTACACCCTAAACTCCGAGACCCTGAACCCTGGTTGAAACCCTGGCATCTGAGGGGGAATGTCAGAAAAACAGGCAGCTTAGTGATAGCTCAAGTAGCCTGATCACACTCATAACACAAGAAACCCTAAATGGCCCCCTCTTCCCCCCCCGTTTTTAAGAACCGCCCCTCTGCATCCATGAACCTTCAAAGCATCGAAAGGTGGCCATCTTGCATGCGCGGAACATCGACCAGTTTCTGGTGATGGTCCCAGTGCGGCAGAGTTTAGGGCTGAGGATTCAAGGTTTCGAGATAGGTGGCTTCAGGATTTAGGCGGCTCGGGGCTGAATTGAAGAGATAACGGCGCAGCCTGAATAATTGGGTGTTTCCTTTTGTTTATAGTCCGGGTTTGGGGTTGAAGGCTCTATAAGGCTGAGGGTATGACTTGAAGGCTTGGAGCCTGAGGTCTAACATGACTTCAGATGTATCAGTGAGTGTCCGTGAGAAAGCCTCAAGAATGCGGGTTGTTGGGCTTGCTGACCCCACCTGTTCAACCCTGAACCAAGCCCTGCAGCCCTAGAACATAAGCCCTACTTAAAGGGTCATGGGACTTAGTAACTAGGGTTATAATTAGAGTAACTATACTTATAATTACCTATAGCCCCATTTTGGGTACTTATAAC